CTTCGTCTCAATAAATATACATATCAACTACTGACCTGGCCTCATTTTCAGAACAAGTATCTGATAATACATGACCGTTCATTAAATAATTTTCGAAAAAAAAGTAAGTGTAATTTGACTGCTCCTGTGTACACATTCTGCCCACAGGGTAACATGGCACTTCGTTTTGTGTTCCTTGTGTTTAAACTTCAGGGAGAACACATCCACTCAGCTGATAAGATGAAAGACTAAATGATCAGAGATTAATTAAATAAACGAACAGGAGAACAGCTGGAAGGAAAAGATCCATTACAAAATTGCACATTTACAAAAAAGCCGATATCAAATTATTAGAGCGTCTCTTGATGCATTAATGTACAATATATTAGTACTAGTAGCAATATAACATCATGACTTGGTTTATCAATCGTATGTGGAACAAATCATTGTGTTATTTATAACTCTACACAAAGTGATTAGTCTTTTTAAATCTCAATGACTGTTTGTGTTGGTATCTTTTTATCATAACAGATACACAAATTTTTGAATTCCTCAGTGACATACATAACTCATTTCAAGTGTACCTGGAGAAGCCCAAAGCTCCACAGTTCAAGAACATCAAGAGAGAATAACATTTCATTCTATGCCAAAACTGTGTCCAGTTAACAGAATTTAAAAAGTGGTCTAACCATCAGACGTCTTGGAGGTTAATTTAGGCATTTCTCTATCAATGTTCTGAATTTCAGGGTGTAAGGTGCACACTATGCAGTGTTGCCATGGAGCAATGTGATGTGTACACCATGCACTGCTATCATAAAGCTACACGTGCTACACCTACACAAAGCATCTGAACTTCAGGGTATAAGGTGTACACCATACATTGCTGCCATCAAGCTACGTAGAATACAGTCATACAGCACTGCATTTACAATGTCTACAGCACTGCTCTTGTCTGGGGTTGTTCCTGAATCTGCTCACCCGAACCCTTATAATCACAATACGCTTTAAAACTTCAATGATCATTTAAAGCCATTGTACAAGTTCTTACTCGTGTATTTTTATATAATTTCAACCAAAAAGTTATACCACATCAGTACTTTGAGCAGAGCTGTATCATGTTTGGTCTCATCTTGGCACTACAAGTGCCACCTACAGTGAGATTTCATGCTCACACTGCCGTCTGCACAAACTCATAGCAGTTCATGCATTTGAGACATGTAAAGCACAATCAAGCTTAGCCTTAACATCCTCTCTTCTTTCTTTCTTTCATGATGGCGCTTCTTCTTCTGAATCTGAACTTGTCTGATGTAAAAAAGGAAGTACAAATAATTGTCACTGTGTATCGATAATAACACAAACAGTTCAACAGTAATTATACACAACACTTTAAAATGCACATATCATAGAACATATTTTCAAAATCAACATATACATGTCATAAATGTACGTAGTTAAAACTATAAGCAACTTGCCAAAAGCCATAACTGTTTATCCATTTGTAAACCTGCCACCCCTGACAATGTACCAATACAAAGGAACCGTCCTCAACCTATACACACTGTCAAGTCCATACACAGTCCATTCACTGATCAAAAATTGAAAAAAAATTCCATTGTTTTCATGCCATAGAAACAAGATCTTATAGGTGTGCGTATACTGCTACACATACGAAGTATAAGTAAATGAAATCCCTTAGCATCAAACATTACACCCAAAAATATAAATAAATAAATAAATAAATAAATATATATATATATATATATATAATCCAAAATGATAAAATTATATCTCTCAATATAACTGGTTACCTTCCCCTGGGTGGTTAGTGCCACTGATCACGATGATCACGCTCACGGCGATTTCGCTGAGAAAGAAGAAAAACAAAAACGGCACGTGAATTTGTGATAAAAAAAAACCTTCAATCCAACAGCCCACCACCAAGGAGAGAATTTTTCTTTTTTTAAAAAAAAGTTTATCAAAATCGTGAAACATTGTAAAACAATGTGTCATTTACAGTGTCTACAATGTTATAATATAAAGTTACATACTATAGGAGTGCCTGTAAATCTTATATGGAATATTAGCTGACAGTGCTATAGGGAAGAACAGTTCCTTTGCAGTTAGACTGGCAGGTTAAGTAAGATGACAGTTCACATCTTCAATATTAACAGTAAGTAAAAACAAAAATACAAGTCTCCAACCTTGTAACCAAATCAATATAAGAACAGAATCCAGATTGTCACACAATGTAACTGAAATGTAATAGTACAGTCACATTATTCGGCAGGCATCGCCCCAAGGTTCAGATCATTTTGCCAGGAATCATTCCCTACGAATGCATAAAGGGATATCTCTGTGTGTGTTGACCTGAGCCCCGGGGTGCAGCCCTGCCGTCATCAGCATGCATAACTTAATATTATACAATGACCCTACCTAGTAGTATGAGTAGCGATAATACTAAAAGAGAATACAGTATATTAGTTATAACTATGACAATAAATACTGGAAGGGAAATTACATAAATGGAAATTGTATACAATTCATGTTAAGCCACCACCTCCTTTCTAAACACTGATAACCAGAGTTTAAACTTAACAAAAACATCATTGTTAATTGTTATCACTAATAGCTCTTTTCTAAAATTAATAAGTTATCTTTTTGATAAATAATTCCAATTATTCATGCAGTGATGTTATTTGCCTTATTCTGGGCATCATAAACAACAAAGGCAATAGTGAAGAGTGCTAACACTTTCACCATCAATTTTAAAATTTCTTGCAATATGTTACTTTTCCAGATAGAATTCACTTGTACAGGATGATATACATAACAAATTTTACTTTTTTTTCTCTCCCTCCAGTGAAACTTTTAGACTAGAAACCATGCTTTGCAATCATTTACAGCCAAATTAGATGGCTGTGCTCACAAAGTAATAGCCCAGGCTAATACTTGTATCAAAGTGCATTTCTAGCCCTCCAATTAAACCTTTGTGAAATTCTGGTTTGCTGAGGCAAACTTCAGTTATGGGCTCCAAGGACACAACCATGGTCATCTTGACCACCAAAACGATGCTTACTGCTTGACCATGGTCGTCCCAAGCCTTGTAAATGTCCCAATGGTCTGGACTGTTAGTTGTTTTTAGCTCATTTTTATGAAGAGAAAAGAAGGCAAGGCAAGTCTAAATCAAAATATTTCACAAATTAAATAACCGGTCTGTATTTACAAAGTGAAAACATTCATTCACATATTAGTTATAAGCGTTTAGTTAATGACTACTATGGTAGTGATATTCTCGGCTTACACATTGATGTAACAATGACTTACAAAAACTAATATGCCTTGCTTTCTTATCTCCTCAGGTTTAAGAGCATCTCGCCACCACTCCAGCCTTTCTCTTCTCTGGCTCAATCAGAGACGGGTGCCACCAACCGAAATATAAAAGAGTCTGGTCTCCTCATTAGCCACCGGCAAAACTGGCGTATCTTATATTTACGGCAAGCGAAGGCATGAGAAAAAGAAAAACCTAACTGAGACCAAACTCTCGAAATGTGTTATGGGCACCTCAACTGAGAGCCAACAATCAACTACTGTTCCGGTCAGTGGCAGGAGACTGACCACGGCTGGACACTGGGCATGGGTTATAAGTCAGTTCATCGTTAACCAACCACCATCACTGTGGACCTACAGTAGAGGGGGGTTAGTAGTCCCTTTTGGGATAACGTGCATGGCGGTCATCGTAAGGAGAGTGACTGTTGTGACTTACTCTGCCGCTGGGTTTTCCTCGCCCTCCCTGGCGGCTGCGCACGTTGCGACGCTCGCGGTCAAACTCCAGGTCCTCCAGTCTCTGAGTCAGAGCCAACTTCTGCTGTATTGCCATTCTCAGGAGGGAGTTTAGGGTCTTTTTCTCCTCTTCGGCTGCGGACAGTTGGCGTTGCATCTCGTCTAGCTGTGTGACGTACTCATCACAACGCTGAGCAAACATGGCGCGCAGGGATGAAAACGTGGCAGCATCCTCCTTCAATGCCTTCAGTTCATTCCTCAGCTTCATCATGGTGTCGGTCACTATGGACTTCTCGTTCTCGTACTTGGACTTGAGATTCTGGAGGGCGATTTCTGCGGTGTTCTTGTTGGCCTTGAGGACGCTGCGCAGTGTAGCAATCTGTTCCCTTTTGGTGGACAACATGGCTTTGAGCTTCACAATCTGGTCCTGGAGCTCTTCGACGTCAGACGTCATGTTATCGCCATCTTTGTTCTTCTGTGCTGCCTCTATTGTGCGTTTGACAGCACGACTCAGGTGCTTTACCTGGTCTTGCAGAGTTTCTGTCAGCTTGCAGCATGCCATGGGGTCTCCTGATGGAGCAGAACTGCTGGAAGAAGACTCTTCTTCCTTTTTCTCTGGCTGCTGGGAGTCACCTGTAAGGGGAAGACAAAAATTCAGTCGTGTTCTTGAGAAAATAGAATCTTACAGAATCAGTCTACTCTCTTAACTTCCACTCCACTTACAATGAACTCCCAAAAAAGTTTCAAGTGTCAGAAAAAAAGGAAGACTGAGCACAGCTCTGAATGTGGAAAAGGAAAAATCAAAATCATACATATTTTTCACTAAAATACAATGAATTTTCAAAACCAAGGACCTTTTGTTCTTTTCATCTACCATCTTTCCAGGTTAAAATAATATCAAGGTATCTGAACATCCAACCTTTGTTGTCTGCATTCTCAGAAGTATCAGCAGGAGAACCCTCTTTGCCGCTTTCCTCCAGATCCTTGCTGCTGTCCCTGCGAGTGAAACTGCTCATTCCCTTGATGTGCTCCAACATTATCCTGCTCGGCGTCTGACCATTTACTTCGCACACGTGGTGATACAGCTGTGCCAGTTCCTCCACCACACGAATCAGCTCCTCTTGAGTATTACCCAGAACACCTGTTGCAGCACTGAGGTCAGTTCGGAGATTTTGCATGGTGTCTTCATACTCCCTTAGCTTAGACTGGAGCTTTGACATTGCATCCTTTTGGTCATCGCCAGAATCGGCAGCTTTGACGCCAGTCATGGCTGCCTGAAGTTCATTTATTTGCTGCACAGCAGTGGAGTATTGGAGTTCCTGTTTACGAAGTGCTTTTCTGAGCTTGTGAATTTCTTTCTCACTTTCTGTCATACCCTCTATGTTTTCGTCCCCGTCGACAATTGCCATGTCGTCCAGTTCAGCCACCAGGGACTTGGCATCTTGGACAGTGGACACTGCATTAATGTGGGCCTGAAGGGACTGAACCTTCTCCTTTTGAAGTTCCAATTCCTTCTTCAGCTCCTCCAGCTGTGATTGAGATTCTTCGAAATTCCGTGAAATCTCTGATTTTTCCAGTTCAGTCTGTTCTAGGGTCTCCTCCAGCTTTCTCACCTCCGTGAGGTGGATCTCGCTGAACAAGTCCCCCTGGACTGGCGTAACAGGGGCAATTTTTGGTGTCGACACTAAAAAGTCTGCCTCGATCCTTTTCAGGGCTGGCTGATCACTGTTGTGATCGATCTCAAACTCGTGGTTGTTTTCGTCGTGTCCACCGAGTTTGAAACCATCATTAAAATCCAGCCCACTGAATTGGGCATTGTAACTACTCTGCATCAGTTTTAACCTTTCATTTTCAATGCGCTGATCGAGTTCTTTTTTCAGAGAGTGCCTCTGTTCACGCTCAAGCTGAACTGCAGCGAGGGCCTCTTCTAGATTTTTCTCCACAATATTTTTCAGGTGTGCCATTTCTTCCACCTGAGCAGTAAGGTACTCCACGTCCTCCTGGAGACGTTTGCGCTCGTGTTTCATGCCTTCGTAATCCACCTGTGCCTGCTTAAGCTGAAGAACCTGTTTCTGCAACGAAACATTCTCTTCTTCCAGCTCTGCATAATCTGTGAGATTGCGATTTTCTCGATGTTTCAGTTCCTTGTTCTCTTTCCGCAGCTGTGCACACTGGCTCTGTGTTGACTCTCCCTGCTGGGATAGTTCATTAGACAAGGCCTGGAGGCGCTCATTCTCTGTCTTTAGCCTGGTTGAAAAAAGTTTACAAGTCTTATTAGTAGCAGTTACAGATTAAAAGACTGGTTATAATTTCATATTTGCTCAGTATCAAAAAGTGAACAGCATTACAAACTACTGATCTCTACTTATAAAATTTGCCCCATCTTTCAGGTTAAAAGGTCTGGTTAAATCTGGAACTGGACATCATTGGACAACAAACTTCTTTTTCTCCTTTTTTTTCATTTTAAAAATAATGAGCTTCACCAAGAAGCAACCCCCACCCACCCTACCTTTCAAAAGCCTGTTTGGCTGCCTTGCAGTCCAGTTCCAGCTCCCGTATGTAAGCCTGTAGTTCTTCCTCCCTGGTGACCGTCTCGTGTAGAAGACTTTCCTCATGTCTCACTCCAACCTGACTCTGCTTCTTCTGGGACACTTGAAGTTGGTCAAGTTTCTGAAGTAGACAGCAGAAGATTATATAACGCAATAATAATAATAAAAACAGTTAATAGCATAGCGATTGCTAAAGAAAAGACTAATTTTCTTTTCTTTTTTCATTTCTTTTTTGAGAGAAAGAGAGAGAGAAAAAAAGAGAGAGAGAGAGAGAAAGAAGGAGGAGAAGGATAACAAGCGACACATTCCTTTTAAGTTTTACAGAAAAGGGCATAAGGTGGTGGTGGTGGGGGGGGGGGGGGGAAATTCCATATTT